CATAGCCCGCACAGCTCGCGGAGATGACAACAACAACAACAACACTCACCTCTTTTCCTTACTATCGGTTAACAAATTCAAACGTTTCCTCTTAAATTTCTTTACAAAACACATGGTAAACGCTTCATTGTCTATTGCTGAGTTATGGATTCACTCAGGAGACTCAGGATTGCTAAGCTCACAACAACTCGAGGAATTACGAATAGTTTATTGACGTCATCAGCGTGCTCAATAGGAATATGAAGCACGCTCGCGCTATTGAATTTGATTAGGCGAATTTTCTAGCTATGTTATAATGTCCAATTAAGGCTGAAATCAGGGCAGTTGAAAGCCAATCAGATTTGACAATTTTGTTATAGTGATGATTAACGACGATAGACAGCCAAAGTGCGAGCAAAAAATGCGAAGGAATGTTATCACGTGCATTTGCCTTGGAGATAACATCTCTATAGACACGTGACCAAAAACGATCGCCTTTGTCGCTAACGGCAACTGTTACGTACGTCTACGAAAAAACAGTCTACCTATTTCGGTAGTGCTCAGAAATTCCAGCCGTTTCAGTAACGTGCCAACTTGGAACCGGGGGGGATACTCAGCCAAGTTTTTTATAGGGAAGGCTCCGCCCCAAGGTCCAGCCCCTTACCCTTTAAATATACCATTTTTGATAGAAAAGGTTCCCCTTTGGTATACGTTTTATGGGCAAATGGTACCTCTTTCACATACCTAGTTCAGAACTTTACATCCCTCTTACAGCAATGCTCCGTCGCGCGTGACCAGTAAATTCCGACAATTCAGACAACGTTTCAAGTTTTGTTTACCCTATTTGGGTGTTTTGGTGTGATCTGGGAAATTCGAAACGAAATTTACAAAATCCGTAGAAAGATTTGAGGATTTAACGAACTTCACAATGTTCAGACCTATTATGACGCTTTAGATCGCGAATTCAGGCCAGGTAAACCTCTCAGTACGGAAATCAGAAGACAGATGGTTGATTTGTATTTGAGCGGAGAGGAACCGAGGGAAATCTCACCAACAGTTCGTGTTACTTATCATGGGCACCCAACGAGAAAATAGTTCAAAACAACTTAAACATAGTATTGCTAAACGTATTTTAGTATTTAAACGCCAGATATAGGCATATTTTTATCCGCTAAAATTTTTCATCTGTTCGGATTTCCTAGCTGAAAGTCTAGTGATCCGAAAATTATAGGGATTAAAACTTACCTTTTCGAAAATTTCAGCCAGAAAAAAGGCTCCCGAAAATTCTAGGTGACGTTTTTAAGGTAAAAATCCGTTAAAAATGGGCAATTATACCATTTTTTAGATGTTCGAAAATCCTAGGAGAGGCAGACAAGCAAGAAATTTTACAAGAAATGTTCCGAAAATTCTAGATCTCAAGTCGTCGTCCGAAAAGAGATTTTTCCGAAATTTGATGTTGACTTATGGCGGAGTGTGTCGCATCATTCGTCATTATCAAACGTACGGCACATATTTTCCCCTTCGTCGAGGAGAGCGGAGAAATCCTTCTAAACTTTCAGACAACGTTCTAGAATCCATAGAATTGTTCAAATTGATCAAACCTAGCATGTTTGGAAGGGAAATACGCGAAAGGTTGTTGAAAGATGGCATGTGCGATGGGAGAAACTTACCGGCTTTATCGACTGTAAACAAAGAATAAAGGTTAAGCTCCGCATAATAAATAAATAAATACTCGATAAACCAGAGGTTACATACGTCACTATTTCTTCAGTATTTCCACAAGTATCGAACTTTCCATCTCTAATTTGAAGATCTTTTCCTGGAATTCTACATTTCAACGAAATCTCCGAAGTTTCAATGTGGTCTTCGCTACGCCACTCAAAGAAGCGCGTTTATTGGAAGACTCGGATCACGTGTTCAGTTTACTGGTCACACGTGACGGAGCATCGCTGTAACTGCTGTAATTGCCCTTTCTTCAAAATATGACTAAATTACAAAACCAGAACGTTATCTCGCCTTTTTTCACAGCCCCTGTATAAAACGCATCTGTTAGCCCTTTTGTGCCATTTTACCGACCAAAATGACAAAATTCCCTACCCTTTCATATACATATACTCCTTACCCTTCATATACCTGAATCCTGGAAATGGTAAAGTCTAAGGCTAGGAGAAAAGTATACTTTAAACTTGTTTACAAAATATATTATTTGATACAGTTATTTTCGTATGACTTTGAAGTGAAAACGCGCGAACAAAACAGAAACAACAAACGATCGAAAATAGAGCGATTTGATTCGCTTGTCGAACGGATACAAACGCGCGTGCGTTTTGGTTGGTTAAGCAAACGCTTGGCTGAAAAAACTTCATGCCCGAAGAACTTTCTAGAAATCAATCGATACTTCGCTTTGACGTCATACCGCAACACGAATGGCCAATCGAACAATGCCTTCTTCATACTGAGATTTTCTTTGGCGGGAAAACGAGGAGTCTATGTTTGATCTTTCATCCACTGGGTGATAAAACAGATAACGAACTCTTACCGAAACCATTTTTCGAGGTCATACGAAAATCGCTCTATTCCTCCACGGGGTGTTGTTCTTCCCTTCTTAAGAGAATTCGAAAATTGTTACGGTAAGGTGTTCCGTTGACACGGAACCACGCTAACCGCACGAAAATTTGAACGCCTAGCCGTTCAAAAATTTGAACGCTAAAATCGAGGTCAAATTTTTGACCGGTACGGTTGAAAATTTGAACGGCAAGGTGTGGACACCGTGGTTGCATGTATGCGTGGTTTCTCAGTTGGAAAAAGAGAGGACAATTGCAAACAGATATTGCGAGAATTGATTTACAAGTCGTGCTATTACACGCTTTGCTTGGAAATATTACGGTTTCACAGCGCAAAAATATTGAACGGTTTTGTGTAAAAAAAGTGTCTGGTCAAATGTTTCAAACGGTCGAAAATTCGACCTTGTAAATGTAGCCTAACACACCCCGTATCATGCGTCATTGCTCCTTCAAAAGCTCTCACTCAGAATCTCCGCGTCAGAGAGTGGAGTCAAGCTGCGAGGCAGATGAGCAACCCACGTGACCTACCGTGTACTGACATATTCCAGAACTGACACCTTAGCAATTTACCAGCCTTACCTTGGTTACAGTTATATCCTGTGAAACCAGTTCTCCGACAAACTGTTGTATAAATAAGAATATGGGATATAAGTGAGAACAACCTCGTCCCCAGGGCTTTTCCCTTAAAAAATGGGTGGGGTGGGAAAAGGTCATGGCATCGGCTGGTCACGTGCACAGCCTAAATATTCCTGAGAAGCTAATTTATATGCAACCCGCTGTTTTTGCCCTGACAGAAGTCGAACGGAGCAACAATGGAAAATAATAATATCGCGAACTGTATGTCAATATTTTCGCGTCCACGCGATTCAAAAGCTTAAGATCCATTTAATTACGTATTATTCAAATGCTACATGTATGAGTTTATGAAAGGGCGTACCGGCTCTACGTTGTCACGTACAAAACATGTCAAATGCTTCAGAGTTGAGACAAGCTGTTATCGAGTAGTACTTCGACTGAAATTCATCGTGACTGTGGAATTACTGTACGATCAAGCAGAAAGTGATTTTGTCCAATGTCAAACAAAAATGCGGGCCTTTGCCTCTAGGATCTGCAGTGAATTTAAACAAATTGAACTTAATTGAAATAGAATTGTTCATCAAAATGCTTTATGGAGTCTGGTCTTCTCTACAACCCGACCATGAAACAAACAAATCTCCGCGCCGGATGCAAGTCAGCTCTCCAGCCAGGAACGATGGCAGGTCGCCGATCTGAAACATTTTAAGATCTCTTATATCTTTTCTCTTCCGAGGATAAGTACAAAGGAATTTCCTTATATCAAAGGGAAGATTGACCGATCGATTGGAATCAACTACACCTCTGTCAATTTTAAATGGATCCAAGTGTTTCTTTGTTATCAGTCGTTTGATACCCTGAGTGCCATGCAGAAGCTTTTCATGCGCGGTTTCCGGTATCGCTCAAGTCTCGCAGAGGTCAATGAATTTTTTAAAAATACAGGTCATACTAGATAAGTCTAAACCAACGCGTGTCGCTATGATATGGCTGAGAGTCAAGGTGAATAGAACTAGGTTGTGTACGGCGGTCCACTTCGCAAGAAATAAATAAAATATCAAAAGAGTCGCCAAAACGGACTTTTCCATGCGAGCACAAACTTTATGCTTGTACGATAGCATGTTTGTCATTTATATCGCTCTATAAAGGAAGTTTTACAAATGTTACCCCTCGCTGTCTCCTTCATAGAAATCGGAGGAAAGCAAAAAATTACCACAGCCAGTATCTGTGACAAAAAAGAAATCTTGTAAAACTTTTCGTAACTCGTCAAGAGATATAAAAGGCCGCCCAAGATCGCGCGCTGTGAGGTTAAGCATAATTTTAGCTTTTCATATAGCGCTAATTTATTACACCCAGGATTTTAGGGTGTACGAGGGGACACGTGACCAGCCGATGCCAGGGCCTTTTCCCGCCCCACCCATTTTTTATGAGAAAAGCCCTGGGGACGAGGTTGAGGTGAGAAGCATTAATAAGTGTTATTATTCATTCAAAATATTTCCCCAATTCTGATTGGCTAAAAGCACACGCGTAATTCACCATAACCAGTTACTGATGACCAAATTTGGAAGAATTTTGTGTTTAACAAGGAAATGACGTCAAAAATGCAGCCTTCTACAGGTTAATGCACCGTTAACCGAGAAGACCTGGGGACGAGGTTGAGTTGTTTTTGTTGTGAAAACTAAGATGTCGGACACTTCACTCGTTTCAAGAGTAAGAACTACAGCTGGAACTAGGCGAAATAATGGCTAAAAACATAGCAAAAACAGCAAGAAGACAACTCGGAGGGCGACATCTGCTGTTTGGAGAATATTTGCTGAGCTGGACAAACCTAAACGTACACTATCGAAGATAAACGTAACATCGATGCAGGTAAGCATGTTTTAGCTATGTTTTTATGCTATTGTAGGAATTATTTTGAATGAAAAATCAAGCAATTAATGAATTCGGCTTTCGTAGGATATGAAGAATTAAGCAGATCTTGGAGTGTGTTACCCACCTCGGCCTTCGGCCTCTGTGGATAACACCCTCCTCGATCTGCTTAATTATTCATTTCCTACGAAAGCCGAATTCATTAATTGCTAATTAATGAATTAATTTTCCAAAGTTTCGTTATTTTAAAATGCCAGTGGAGTGTATGCTGGAGCGATGTAAATCGTTGCATGACCATGGACAGCTCTAAATGTGATGGTAAGAAGTATAGTATAGAGACCGAATCAACCTTCTCTTTGGAAGGGAAATTACACTGACGCCGATGACGTCATAGCCTTTTGTCTTTATGCGGAGAAATCTCATTAAGATAAGGTGTGCTATTTTTAGGGTGTTTAACCGGTTTGACAGGTTCTCTAGTAATTTTTATGTTGATGAACGTTCTCAGTTAAGAGTTTTATAACTGGTGCAATTTTACCTGGTGTGCCAGCCATCTGGAATCTGGTGGATGGATGGCTAATTACTATCTTCACTTTTATGATCCCTGACCAGGGGCGCAAATTTCTCGGTATTGTACAAGTCTTTCTTTTAAGTGCAGCCCATCCATCACATTTGAGTATTGCGCCATTAAACTGGGCCACAATATCTCCATTTCCATCTTGTTCGGTTTCAAACTGGACATCAAAGGTCCGCAGCACAAGGCCACGATAGGAGAAACCATTGGTCTTGAACAATCCTCCGCCCACATTGAGATATTTCACTGTCAAACTGCCTGGTTTGCAGTAAAGTGGGAACTGCTCATTCGCACTGGAGCTTCTCAGTTGCTGAGGGAAAGATCCCAGGGAAGGGTACTTTAGGAATTTTTGAGTGGGGATGTGCTGCTCAGACCCCAGAACCCTTAGCCTATACCAGACCCACAATCCTGGCCAAAAGGGTTTAGTACTCTTCCTTTTTCTCTCTTTTTGGTTAGGTATTTCCGAGTAACCGACAATTCTTAGTTGTAAATTCATTTCTTTCTCTCTTTATTAAGCTTCGCCAAAAAAATTATAATAATAATAGTAACATACATATACGTGGCAGGGTCACCACAGCATATAAACAAATAATGCTTTTTCTTGGTTTCCCCCCCTCCCCCCAACCGAGCAAAGTTGAAGTCCAATCCTATAATCATTCCCAGATTTTGAATTGTGACACCCAAAACTGTCTAGGGGAGAGGGGGATCAGTTAAAAATACACAGATCCGTGTAGAAGACTAAGCTGACGGTCTTAAAAGTTTTGACGAGGATTGAAGTTCGGCTGAATTTTGCTACCCTAAACCAGTCCTAAACTTCCAGAATCTCTCCTTATTTTCTTGAAATTACTGGTTTTCCCCGTCTAGACATAAATCTTTAACCTATTGATTAGTTTCCCTTTACAGCAACACATACCTGTATATTCCATGTATCATATATGGCAGTACCCCAGTACGCCCCCCCCCCCCCTCCTCCCGGGAGGGATATGAAAACAGGAACAAGATTTAAGCAAGTTTCGCATTCGTAACATTCATACTATAATACATCCAGTAGTTTTTCGCTGAAAATGTTTACCTGACACTTGGCTCGCTGAAATCCTGTTAAGGCTGTATCAATCAAACCCGGTTTTCCAAAAACGTTTGCTGAGCCTTGCAGGATCAACAATACCTGGAGTAATTTGGCAGTAAACATTTTCCAAGTGAACATCTGCAAACATAAAGACAAAATAACAATTCTTTCTGCGCTGAATGATTAAATAAGGCTACATCAGCCCACACGAATCCGGATATTTTTGAAACCACATACTATTTTTACACGAATCAGCACTCGATCCGTCTACACCAAACCAGTGAATCCGGTCATCGAAACTGCCTTGTTTGGAAACAGCTCTCCAGAGCGTTTTCAATAGGCACCGTTTAATCCAGATTAAAAATATGCGGTTTCAAAAATGTCTGGATTCGTGTGTGGGGACATGGCCTTAGTTTCGATTGCTTCAGAGCGATTCGTAGTCTTCATTCCGATTCGTGAGTCGTGATGAATTTGCTACTAAAACATTAAGGATTCTCCATCCGAAATGCTTTGATAAATGTATCGTTTCAATAACAGATGGTAAAGTGAGTAGGTAGGTAAGTACGTAAGTAAGTACGTAAGTAAGTAAGTAGGTAAGTAGTAAGTAAATAAGTATCAGTAACGTTAGTCATCGTCGATGACGTGAAGAATGATCGCCCATCAAAACTGCTCTGATCAAATGTAACGTTTTGATCAGAGAAGGTAAATTGACACACTAGATGGTAAATTAGTCTAGCCGTTCAAATATTTTCTGATGTCCATGTCAGCTTGGGAATCACCTCTAAATATAAAAATCTTATAAACCTTATATCTTCATGGTGTCCCACGCCACAGAAATTGACCACACTTAAAGGTGCTGTGTCACGGCTGTGTACGTTCATTTTCTTAATATTGCCAATTACACACACGTCCTTATTCACGATAGAACTTATCATTAGCAAAGAAATTACTTGCAAAGGAATAGTACTGCTTCATGTCAAACCAACGTGTCTTAGTCTCACGCCTTATATAAAACGTTATAGACAAATAGAATGAACTTTCAAAAACACTTAGGCTGACAAGTTTTCAAAAACCACTTGTAATCCTATTCAATCTTCTTAGAATCTGCCCATCCGCGCCTTCCTTTGTAAGGGCTGTATTATTTACACCTTGTGTTAATTATGCAGTTGTGTTTATGTTTCGCTTAATTTGATGGCTTTTCCAACAGGTTTGATACTTTTCGTGTGATACATACAGCCCGCCCCCTGGACATATAGCCCCTAATGATTACCTACAAAGAAAGCTTCTGTGAAAACTGGAGGTACGGTGACTGTGTGTATATAATCAAAATTGCAAACAATGAACGCTACTCATCTTGATGTATCTAAAAGACGTTTAACCACTTAATCGCTCTGCTTAACTACGTCTTAAGAACGGAATGGCGATTTGTTAATTTTGACATTCACTTTAATTTCATCTGCCTTGGTGGAAAATATAATAACTGGATCCAATTCAATCAGATTAAAGCACTTTAAAACGACTCTAGAAAGATAAAGTGTTTTTTCCTGTCTTTAAAAAGCCCGGGTTAAAAAGTCAACTTGGATATTGAATGGGCTAAGATAAGTAATACAATTAAGAGCAGTTTTGGTAATTACTTAACCAGCAACGTCAACGCAATCGCTGAGGTAAAACGAATTCGCTGTCAGTCATTTGGTAAAAACTAAGTTTTCCTAAGATATTATTAATTCGCAGACTTGCTGAAGGTTTTGCCTTTTCAAAGAACTTTCGATTTCAAAAATGGTCGAATATATGGTAGAAACGTACTTACTTTTGCAAGACAATATTGCGTTGGCAAAAGCACTACAGTGAAACCTGTATTAAGGGGACACAGTATTAAGAAGGCCCAAAATTTATTTTCCTTATTTACTTTAAATGAACCCTTTATTTAGGGGACACCTCTATTAAGCGGAAGCGGACACCTAAAAAGTACCTGGAATAGTCATTTCTATTGTTACCAACCTTGTAATCAAATTCCACCACCCAACATACCAGACACCGGAAATTCGAAAGATTGCCTCGAATTTCCACCCACAACTTTTTCGATTTTTACTTTCAAAAACGTGACTTGACGAACTTATTTGATTGGTTTCCCTGTACAGTACTGTTTTCTATGTTATGAACACTTATTAACAATTCCACCCAAAGCAGGTGGGAGACAGGAGGCCTCGAGCCCCTCCTCCAGAATGTTTGGAAGTTAGAAACAATGTGTCAAAAAACATGCTATAAGAACAAATTCATGTACAACAACAATCAGTCTTGAATTCTTCACCTTTTTCACAACTGTTAGTAGTCTGTTAAGTAAATAACAGTTGCTTTTGCAACAGCAACGCTGGCACTCCTACCTTAAAACTGATACTATAAATCTGGTGTACGTATTTTCATAGAAGATAGATAATCAACACAAATTATAGCAATGCGTACAGTATTAGCATCTATCCGGCGACATGAATCTTCGTACACCCTTTGATCATTTTTTCAAAATTTTCGACGGGTGGGGCAAAAATTTTGACTTGCCAATTTGCTCTTCCTCCAGCCCGGTTACTTAAGCATTTGCTGCGGGCCTGTATTTAACGGGAAGATAAAAAGGGCCTTTCAGCCTTACTGCTTTTACTGTTCATTTTAAGTGTCCTGTTGGTGAACTACATAAAAAGTGAGACAATTGCTTTATCAATGCCTATCACAATCTTTGAAAGACCTTTTAAGAGGAGACAGAAGTGATAGGATCCTCACGTGCTTTGTGCGAAGTTATCTTTTTTCTTAATTTATTGTGCTGGAGGGAGTGAAAAAAGGTGGCCTCGGTTTTAATTGCTTCTTACTCAATATTGACACACAACTGTGTTCTTGGATAAAACCTCTCTCTTCCGATCGACACTGAGCCTATAAGGACCCTATGTATTCCAATCATTTTTAGATTGGTCAATGAATGATGTGATATTTGTCGTCTGAGAAGAGTTATGGTAATACTAAAGAGTGATAGCAAGGATTTCGGCGCTGGGCGCAGGCTAACGTTGATGAAGTTTCCTATACTTTATCTCGTGGTTGAATTTTAGAAATCACCACAAACCGAAACACCGCAAGTTACCGGCCCACTTTTTGCACAATTATTGCGTTCGAGGTACGAGAACGCGACCCCTAATTTGTGTTGGGTGTTCTGTGCATTATTGGGTGTCCTGTGAAATTAATAAGGGAGGTTTTTTCGAGACTGCATTTGTCGTCGACACACATTTGCCTCGCTTTGAGGCGCTTGCTTACGTTTTGCCTCACTTTGACGCGCTAACTCACGTGGTGATTTTTGTGTTCTCGGCGTTCATCTTTCAAACGTTTGCTGAGGTCTGCTATTCTGTCTTCGTAAATCGTTCATCTTTTAAAAGTGTGCTGACTCTTCGTAAAACGTACATATTTAAGAGTTTGCTGAAGGTCTACTATCGATCTGTGTTTAATGAATCTTCCAAAGCGTTCATCTTTCAAAAGTGTGCTGAAGGTTTACACCCTGAGTAAAATTTTGCTTTGGATTAAGCCTTCATATTTTTCTTTGGAAAATGCGTGCTACGCCTAGTGCATGCATCAAACGAGGTTGTGTAGCTCGGCGTCCGTTGAGCCACAAAGTAAATTTGCCGGCGAGTTGTGAAGCTCAGGGTCTGCACGTTGTGCCACAAATTAAATCTACAGAGTTGTGTAGCTCGGCGGCCGTTATTCCACAAAGTAAATCTACCGAGATGTGAAGCTCGGCGGCACCATTTCATCATGACTTGTGATATTTTCGGCACTGGACAAACAAACATTTTAGCTCTATGTTATTTATTCGGAAAAACGTGACCAGCCCACAGTAGCGCCACTCAAGCCACTGAAATCAATACACTCGACCAACTTACTGGAAAAGTTATTGACGTGAGCCGCACACACATTCTACTGAAGGCTTTGATGATTCCCTTGAAATGTGTAAAATTGAGGGGTGTAGTGTAAGTGAACCAGTGTTCAAACATAATCATTGTGCCCCGGCATTCACCACAAAAATATGGTCTTGGAATCGATTGGGTCGTTCTTATAAAATTAATGATTACATCTAAAACTTTATCAACTGTTTGCTTTTTAACAGTACCTGGGCCGGGTTGTTCAAAGCTGGGTTAAGATAACCCAGGTGAGGAGGGTTTAGTGCGAAATTTGAACTTATATGTGAAAGCTTCATTTTGCCAACAAGTTGATGATTGGACGCTCTTAAAAATAACTGAGAAAATTACCCAAAGAATGTTTTTTAACAAAAGAAAAAGAAACCCGGGTTAAGCGCTGATCGGCCTTCGAACAACTGCGCCCTGAAAAACATCTATTGCGCCAGTAAAACAAAAAGTTCTTTTTACACGCCCGAAGCACTCTGGCCAGTGTCTCCTGAAATAACAAGCACTTGAGACGAACCATACGATATCATGCTGATCACGAGCCTTCAAAACCTTTTCATTATGATACACAGTTTAAATCGAGGTTTCGCTGTACGCAACCCTTACGTTCAAAATATGCTATAATCATAGTTATCTATCGCAAGAACCATCCACCTTTTCCCCTCAACTCAGTGCTACCTGTACGCCTAGCAAACATATCGAACGCACTCTCGTAATCTCCGATTACTCCAAGTTTTTAAATAACCTGTATCAAATAGGCTGAAATGACTGGATACCTTTCGACTTCGTGTATACGATCGCTGCGGAAAACCAAACTAAAAATTGCCGAACAGGTTGTAAGTTGCGTATGCCGCCCTTACGGTATATGAATCATTTCTTCTCTTACATTTAACGGATTGACATAAAAGAAAACACGTTTGATTTCGTGATCTAGGGTCCTTCCAATATTCAAAAGAGAGAAAAATTCTTTATTAGCTTTAATTAATTTTATTTTTTAATTTGTTTTTTATTTCCACCACTTTCAAGATTAGTCAGAAGTCATGAATCCGAGTAAATTTTAGGAGAATGATTTTTCTATCTTTTTTTCTTTTTTTAAATTTTGGGTGCGACACAGCTATCCTTAGTCTAACTGAACAATTCAAGGAAGAATTAGATAATCACAAAGTTATTAGTCTGGTGTCTATGGACCTGTCAGAAGCATTTGACACCCTTCCCCATGATCTTATTGTCAAAAAGCTTGAAGATTACGGTGGTGACTCAAACGTTATCAATCTTGTTACGAATTATTTAAGTGACAGACATCAACGTGTCAGATTGAGTGGACAGCACTCTTCTATGAAAACTATAATGAAGGGTGTTTCCCAGGGATCAATTTTGGGTCCCATTCTCTTTAATATTTTCATGAATGACCTGTCTTATGTTATAGATAAATGCACATTATTCACGTACGCCGCTGACACTCAATTGTTTAAGTCTGAGGAAGATATCGACCAGGTTGAACATGCCATAAATGCCGATCTGAGAAAGGTTGATAAGTGGTATAAATTCAATCAAATGAAAAGAAATCATTCAAAATATCAAGCAATTACTTTTGGAAGGGTCGAGAGAAATCCTGTGTTGACATGTGAACGAACCGTTATCCCTATTCAAGACGAAATGGAACTCCTTAGTGTCAATCTCGATAACAAGCTTAAGTTTGAGGGACAGATTCGTAAAATCTGTCGTAAAGTTAGTCAACAGGTTGCTGTTCTCGATAGTGTGAAGAAAATATTGCCTGTTGAATTGAGGATAGATATATATCGTGCTTTCATGTGGACCGCATTTCAATTACTGTTCAGAATCGTAGCATCACTGTGGTAAAAGAGGTTCCGGCAAAATTGAAAAAATCAGTGAACGAGCCCTTCGCTTTGTGACCAGTGACAAGTCAACCACCTACGAGACGTTGCTAA